CGACTCTCTTCCTCACTTCTCCCCGCTACCCCCCCCCCCCGTGGAATATCTCAAATGGAACATTGTGCATGCAGGCGGGAGAGCAGCAGGGCTCATTAGGTGAACTGTGTGCTGCCTGTTTATTCCTCCTGCAGGCTTGACAAGGGATAATCCTGAATTTTAAAAATAAAAGGGAGTTGACTAGATTGAAGATGTAAGTGCACCTCAGTAATTACAGTGGTATAAAGGCAGAATTACCTTCCTTTTTAAGGCAAGAGAATGAAACATTAAATTGTTTACCTTATTGAGGTGTGATTTATGTGATTAAAGAACACCCATTTTTACCTTTCTAAATAAGAAAGCGTTCAGAGTGTTCTGATGAGAAGTCCAAGCCCTTTCAGGTAGTGACATATGCTTATGCCTTATTAAATGTGGTAGGAAAATTCTGCCTGAGGTGGGGAGTGGAAAAGTTATTATTGGGAAACTAATCAGTTACAGAGCATGCTCCAAGGTTCCATCTTAATTGCATTTGCTTGTACCCTTTCAGCCAGTGGGATTGGTAGTGGGTGCGGAGGGTGGTTCTTTGGCACAGGCTTGGTACATGATTTACTGGAGTGGAGAGGCATCAGGGATGGACAGATGTATTTCCAGATGAATGAATGGGCCATTTTATACTGCATCACCCTCAAAGCTCATGTCAGAGCCAGATGCCATCTTTTCTTTGGATGAATGCCATAATGCCAACCCCATTCCTGGGTGGTGATATGTAAGTACTCTTTCAGGTGCTTAAAAGCCCTTTGCTGACAGCTTATTTAGAAATCTGAGGAAGCCATTTGGTGTAAGAGAATTCATTCCATCATATTCCTCTGGCCTTGCACTTTTAAGTAGAGAGATTGCTTCCCTCATATTATAGGATTTAGACCCAGAGAGGACTTTAAAGATTATCTGGTCTAGGTGAAACTGTACATTGGCTAGAATTATGTGGGTAATAAATAGCAGAGCCTGTATTAGAACCCAGGCCCTCTGAGTTCAAATCTAGATTTTGAAGGCCAAGATATACCATTCCAGCTGATCTTATTGCAGGCAAGTGGGGGATCGGATCACATGACATTGGAGATTCTTCTCCCCCATCTTACTCATGCCGGTTCCCTGGGCCTTAATCTGTATTGGTGACATATTTATACCCTCTTAGCCTAATGGATAGTTTGCCCTTGATCACTCATTCATGATAGGTTTTGCTTACAGTTGTGCAATCAGGATGAATCTGACTTGGCAAGCCAAGAAAACATGGCAGGCTTGCTTTCTGAATAAATCAAGATGCTGTATGTAGACCAAAAGGATGTGGTGAAAAGAATAACAGTGATAACAAATGTTGTATAATGAACTTTGGAAGGAACTATGAAAGAAAAGTAGTTAGCAGGGCAGGGGAAAAGAGTTTAGTGAGGAGACAGGAAGACAGTGAGTTCAAATCACTGCCTCCTGGAGTTCTGAAAAGACTAGTTGATGTGATTAGTAAGCTTCCTTCAGTGATTTTTGAAAGTATTACAGGATGATGTTGTCCTAATTTTCAGAAAAGGAAAGAGGGTGTAGTAGGGAAACAACTGACCATTGAGCTTGAATTCTATTCTGGGCAAAATTCTAGAATATAACATTAAGGGTCTGATTTGTGAGCACTTAGAAAGGGAGGCAGTGATCATGTAAAGCCAGTATGGCTTCATCGAGGACAGGTCATGCTAGGCTAATCTCATTTTCTTTTCTATCTTCCTGACTCTAGACCCAGCACTCTATTTACTGTGAATGTGCTCTCATTCTAATTCTTTTGTATGAAACAGAGATTTAGGCTAGATAATAGTACTGGTAGGTTGATTTGGAAATGGTTGAAGTAGCCAGCCCAAAGAATTAAATGATTCAATGTATCAATGCCAACTTTGAAGGAAGCAGATTGTAGTAGCATACCTCAGAGATCTGTGCTTTATTCTAGTCAACATTCTTGTTAATTAAGGCCTAGATTGCACATTGCCCCTCCTCCCCCTTCCAATCTGCAGGTAACAGGAAACTAGGGAGAACAGTGAACACATTTGAGGAGAGTTATCGGGATCCAGATTCCTGACAGGGTAGAAATGATGCAAATTGAATGTGATGAAATTTAACATGGACAAATGTCAAATTATTTTGGGTCCAAAAAGCCAACTTCACAAGTTGGTAAAGTTAGACAACAATAGTTTCTATGGATAAGATGGTGTGGGGAGGGGGTCATGGAATGTAAGTTCAATTTGAGTCAGTAGTGTAAGACGTCAGTGAAAAAAAAAGCTAATGCTGTTCTTAGTTGTATTGAGACATACCAGAGAGAGGGTCTACTATGAGAGAGTTAATGGACCTGCTGTACTATTCATTTCAGGGAGCCACATTTTAGAAAAGACATTGGCACCCTAGCCTAGAGCGTATCTTGAAGAGGGTAACCAGGATGGTGGAAAGAAACAAACAACAAATACCCAAATGAGAGAACATGGCACATGAAGATTGATCAAAAGAACAAGGGGTTATTTGGTCAGAAAAAAAGAGAATATATTGGGGTGGGGGTCAAGCAAGTCAACAATTTTCAGGTATTTGAAGAGCTGTGGTGTGGAAGAAGAATCAAGCTCCTTTAGCTTGGCTTTTGAGGGCAGCACTAGGAGAGTTGGCAGTTTCAGGGAGATAGCTTTAGGCTTGACATAAGGAAGATTCTTCTAACAATGAGGATTGTCTAAAAGTGGAGCAGGTTGCTTTGGGAGATCGTGAGTTCTCCTCCACTGAAGACCTCTAAGCAAAAAGTGGACGACCACTATTTCTACATATTACTGAAAGGACTTCTTGGTTAGGTGTGGGTTGAACCATGGCAGGTGGTCCATAAGATCACTTCTGACTCTTAGGTTCTGCAATATGGTCTCTATATTTTTCAGACAACTGCAGAGCCTGCTATGTAGTTGTTGTTTTTTTTTTTAAATCTCTATCTGAGGTGAATTAAGGTAAACTAAATGGGAGAAAAAAGTGAACTTATTTTCTTTTAAACTGTCTTAATAGTTTTATGAATTCATATTTTTTCAACTCCTCTTTTCTCAAGAAAGGTAAAGGCAAAGAGCTTTCTTTGGAACAATTAACTAAGCTGACGATAAAAGGTAGAAAGCTATTTGTTAAGGTTATTGTAATGCTACTTATCTAGCCAGGATGACTTAGCCAGGCATCTCTCTGTGGGAGGACAATTTGAGAAAATGATTGAATGTGCACATTTTTTAAATGGTAGAAAAATAAATGTACCAGCTTCTAGATCTCACCTTCCCCTCTGTGGGCAGTGCCACTCACCCCCATTGCAGTGAGGAGCCAATCCCCTGAATGCTTTAAGAGAAAGAAATAAATTGCCTTCAGACTTCTGTCCCCAGAAACTTGTACTTTTTTTCTTGTTTTATTTAATGTCTTAAGCCCTAATCATCAAATGCTAGATCTTATCCTTTATTCCTCCACCACTTAATATCTTCAGAGACTCAACTTCATCATTTATTCATTAGCTCCGCCTCTGCCCTTCAAGACACCAATTGGTTTAATAAAATCTTGTCATCTTTGTAAAATTCAGAAAGCAGGAGATGTGTGTGTGTGTATGTATGTATGTGTATGTGTATGTGTATGTGTATGTATACGTGTATGTGTATGTGTATGTGTATGTGTATGTGTATGTGTATGTGTATGTGTGTGGTATAGGCAGGATTGAGATTGTGTTTCTTATAGATAGAAATGCCAAGAGATTTTGCATCAAACCTCAGGATGGATTTCAGAATCTGTGGTTTTTATCTCTTGTATATCCCTACCATCCAGGAAGCCATCACCATAATACCTGCAGAATTCTGAACAAAACCATTTTAGTAATGATTTTTTTTCTGCCTGCATTGATACAGGTGTAAATACAGATTCAGTAGAATTCAGGGGAATACCAGTGTGGATTATTCCCAAATAATTTTTGTTTGGTTTGGAATGTCATTTCATTTCTCCACTAGATTTTTTTCTTTGCTGCTTCATCGTGGCATGGGGGTGCACCTGGATAACTGACATCTATGCTGATAGAGCATAAGCTCTAGCAGGTCATACTAAGCAGGAGTGACTTCCATGACCCTGAAGGGGGTCATTGCCAGAGAGCCAGAATACAAATACGAAATCTTCTTTTTGGTGTTCAAAGCTCTTCATAATCTAGCCCTTCCACACCCACCTTTCCAGTTTTCTCATACCTTACACCCTCCTACCCAATATACTCTTTGATCCAGTGACATTGGCTTCCTTGCTGTTCCTCCACCAAGACACTCCCTGTCCCAACTCTGCATTTTCACTGGCTTCTACCCAAGCCTGGAATGCTCTTCCTTGTCATCTCTGCCTCCTGGATTTGCCTTAAATCCCATCTAAAATCTCGATTTCTCCAGGAAGCTTTTCCTGATCTCACTTAATTCAAGTGCCTTCTTTCTGGTGATTATCAGCTTATTTGTCTTCAGCAAGCTGAAGATCAGATACTCACCAGTCTTGGAGGAGAGCAAAAGAGGAGCCATGGAATTGATATATCTTCACATAAATGCCAGGTCCAGCTCCTGCCTTCTAGACCCAGCTTTTCCTTTCTTAGTGCTTGGTTTAGCAGTGCAGGGAGCACAGATCAAACAAAGAGCAGTGTGTTCTTACACGTGAGAGGCAGTTGCATTTTGGGAGGGAGTGGTATTGAGCTGAAGGGATGCATATCCTGGCATAGGGTTTAGCCTAAAGGAAGTACTCAGTAATTGCTCATTGATGTGATGCTGTGGTTAACTTTAGTACAAAGTTTTTAAGCCCCAACTGTAGCTTTTTAAATCTAATTTCATTGAAAAGTCCCAGAGCAACCCAAAGTAGTCCTTTATTGGGAATAACAATAAAAACACTTGTCTAAATGTTTAATAAAAAAAAGTTATTACAGAAAATGCTTGGTGTGCTCTTTTAAAAATACATAGTCTAATTTCTTCCATTTCCTTTTTTAGATGCAGAATCAAGAATCTTATTCCCTAAAGGCCAATCTTCAAATTTTTGTCCTGGGAGTAAGTCGCCTTCTCTGCTGGTGGTGGTTGGCTGAACTGCTGATTCATTTAATGTACATGCATGCTCTATATAGTAGTAGTTTCCTTCTGGAAGTTATATCTTCTTGGGCCTTAGGTAAGTAAAAAATAATTATTGCTTGACATTTGCTTTATTTATTTTTTTTAAATGTCTTTTTTTTTTAATATCAGGGACACTTCCCAGTGACTATGTAGTTTTTCTACCAATAAGGACTCCCCTATCCATATTCTTTCCTTTTATCCATTTTGTGACTTTTGTTCAGTCATTTCAGTCATGTCCAACTCTTCATGACCCCACTTGGGCTTTTCTTGGCAAAGATACTAGAGTGGTTTGCTGTTTCTTTTTCTAGCTCTTTTTACAGATGAGGGAACTTAGGCAAGTAGGGTAAAATGACTTGTCCAGGATCACACAGCTAGTAAGTGTCTGGGGTGGAATTTGAAGTCAATTCTTCCTGACTCCAGATCCAGTGCTCTATCCAGCATGCCACTTAGCTGCTCAGTCTTGTGACTAGCAGCACACATTTCTTAGACGGCTTGACTGAGGTCCCAGATAGATATGATTTGTGTCTGGAGACCAGAGACAAGCTAGCAAACGTATAGAGGGGTTGCAACCTGAAGTTTTAGCTTTATTAGTTGTTTCATGCTCTAACCAAATGAGGTAATGATCTGCAACTGCTCGGAGTGGCCGCCTTTACCTTTGGAAGCAAACTAAGCCCTTTAGTGACTTAGCTGATGGAAGTGAGAAAGTTATTGGGGGATGTTCTGTATTTCATTTGAGTTGGTGAATCTGTATGGTGGGGTCATGAGATATTTGACCTAGGGTTTGAGATGGGGTGAGATAAGATGGGAGGACCTCCTAATTCTTTCTAGTAGATCCTAAAACCAGCCTAATACCTTTGAGTGGGTTTGCCCCTAAAAACTATCAGTGGGGAAAGATGATCATCCTTCCTTATTTTTCATACTAATCTTTGATCCTTACATCCAAACCAGCCTACACTTTTTATCTGTACCAAAAAGATGATACTCAAGTGGACCTACTTCATTTTTTTTTCTCTCCCTTCAGGCCCTGTCAGTAAGTTAACCCAGAGTAGCCAAATGTTCACATGGATTCTACCCAATACCCTGAACTTGAGGTGTTAGCCCAGGTGGGAAATGTGTTATCTCCTGAGCAGATCCAACATCACCCTACTGTGAGAAACAGTATAATTCTGTTACCTTTCATTGACTTACAGATATTTCTCTATCTTGTCATTTATGTTAAAAAAAGAAGAATAGAGATGCTTTAAGCATATATTCTAGATTTCTGTATCTGTGCCTTTGAATAGGGTGACCTCAATGCCTGTAATGCATGTTCTTCTTACTTCTTAGCATCTCTGCATCCTCTAGCTTTCTTCAAGGTTCAGTTTAGGTGTCCTCTGCTATTGGAGGTCTTTCTTGCATCCCCAGGACTTTGGTATCCTTGAAGATCTTTCTCCTTAAGATCACTTTGTATTCAATTTCATAAGTATTTCTTAAGGCTTGCCATATGTCATAGGCACCATGGAATACTTGCTAAAGGGATGGCCTCAAGGCGAAGAACACTTAGGTTCAAACTACTTGAAGGCAGAGACAGTTTCATTTTTATATTTGTATCCTGAGTGCTTAGCATAGTGCTGTTGTACATGGTAGGTGCTTACTAAATGTTGTTAGTTGAATATGTTTTGAAGGAAAAAGGCTCTCAACTTTTCAAAATTATTGGACATTTTTAGTATCTCTTTTTCTAAGAACTCTTCAATTAATTAGTTCAGATGTGGCTGCTGTTTTTTTTTTAAAAGAGAATGAAATATATGATTTAAAAACAAACAGCCTGATAGGATTAGAGGATTGTGTATTTTAAGTCAGATGTCAACCAGTCTGTGAAAAATGATGGTGTCTACAATTAAGGAACAAAATGCAAAAAACAAAACAAAACCAAAACACGAGGTCTTGGCATTTCTTCCTCAGATTTTACACACACACACACACACACACACACACACACACACACACACACACGCATGCACATACACACACATACACACACGCACATACACATACACACATGCACATGCACATACACATATGCACATACACATACTTTAAATTATAAAAGAAAGCCAAGAAAAATAAGTAGATGATATTTTAGTTGTTGAATTAGCATTCTGTCCCACTTTTAGCTAAAAACTCTTTTGGGGCTACCTATTACCTTCCTGGCTATTAAAACAACCTTTTATCCTATCCATATTAAAAAACTCACCTACTTATAGGATTCTGTGAGTAACCCTGGGCAACTCTGAATTTTCCTTTATACTGTGGACTATTAGCAATTAACTCCTTGGGCTATACAATATTATTTTGCATTTTATAGTTGTTGTTTAAATAAATTCAATGGCATATTTATTTTTAAAAATAATTTTTATTGATATATTGATATATTTTGTTTTTATATCACACACTTTTCCTAACATCTTTCCTCTCTCCCTTCCTAAAAAGTCACTTCTTATAACAAAGAATAAAAAGGAGTAAAAGAAAAACAGTTCAGCAAAATTAAGCACATCATCTGAGACTTCCTTAAATCATCTATTTGTTTCTTCTCATATATATTTTGTTCTCCTAGTGAAATATAAAATCTTTGAGTTTAAGAATTGTTTCTTTCTTTTTTAAAAATTTTCATCCTCAGAGTTTTGCACATAATAGGTACCTACCATAGTGAGCATGACTAAAGAGGACAATTCCTAGGACTTTGTATTCTGTAATTCTTAGGAATGAGAGAACACTGGGAAAAATTCCTTGTATTACATTTCCCAGAAAGCGTGTGTCTGTTTGCAGAGCAGTAGCATAGCCAGGTAAAGAATCTAATCTGTGGGAAATGTTCTGGAGAACATCAGTATTTCCAGAGCTGTAGGAATGAATAGAGATGGGGAGGGGAGGCAAATGACAGGCTGTGGTTGGAGTGAAAGGGAGGGAGAATGGAAAGATATCATGTGAAGTGATTCTACCCTGACATTTCCAAATCCAAGAGTCCTGGCAGCAATTTGATGATCCCAGAGCCAAGGTAAGAGGCTTCACAGATCTCTAAACTGCCCCAAGGCAATAACAGTTTTCTATTTTGTACTGAGATGTCTGCAGAGAGTCAGTGGGCATTGACTCTTAAGCTCAATATACCAGAGCCATTCTGAAGTGATTGTAATCCCTCTCTGGATATGGGAGAGGGGAGTTAGTGGGAATTAAGCAAGTGATTACGGGCAGCTAGGTAGCACCGTAGTGCACAAAGCGGCAGCCCTGAAGTCAGAAAGATTCATTTTCCTGAGTTCAAATGTGACCTCAGATGCTGACATGCTGTGTGATCCTGGGCAAGTCACTTAACCCTGTTTGTCTTAGTTTCCTCATCTGTAAAATGAGCTGGAGAATAAAATGGCAAACCACTCCAGTATCTTTGCCAAGAAAACCCCAAATGGGGTCACAGAGAATTGGACATGACTGAAAAAAAACAAAAACAAAAACAAAAGACTGAACAATAATGAAGAATGTAATACTCTTTCAGCCATTAGGCAGTGCATGCATTTGTGTGTGGCAACTGAGAATGATTCTTTTACGTAGTTCTCACTTGTTATTTACATTGTTTTATTGTCTTTAATGCTTTTGTTATTAGATTGGTGATTCTTGCATCATCTAATAATACAGAGGATTGGGGGAGGAGAGTGGAATTGAGTCTGATAATTGCTTGCTTTGCTCTCCAAAAAAGCTATAATGAACCTTGTAAATGTAGCAAAAGGCTCCGAATCCAGAGGTCTTAGTTTTCAAGTGCCCAATTGTTACAAAAATGTTTGTTATACTGTTGAAGGAGTGTGAATTTTATTTGGCTAGGCAATTGAGTGCCATGGAAAATATGTAGGTTAGCAGTGGAGTGATGTGATCAGATATATGAATGAAGAAAATTACTTCAGCAGCATTGTTTGAAGTGGATTAGTGGTTGTGAAGACTGGAGATGGTCTTTAGAGCACTGTTGTCATAGTCCAGGTGAGAATTAATGAGGGCCTAAACTAGGTGGGTGGCTGTAAGAATGGAAAGGAAGGGGGACATTTGAGTTATCTAGGAGTTACATAGAGCTTAGTAATTGATTGATGTGGAGCCACATGAAGGAGAGGGAAAAATTTAAGGTTTTAAAAGGCAAGTTAGAAGGAAGATGCAGCTTTGGGGAAAAGATTGAGCTTGCTATGAGACATGATGAGTTTGACTTACCAGTAGATATTCATTGAACAGTTAGAAATGTGAAACCAGAGTTCAGGGCTGGAGAGAGATCTTCAGGAATCATCTCTATGAACATAATCATTGAAACTGTGGGAGCACTTGGGATTTCCAAGTGAAGAAGCATCAATCAATCAAAAAAATATTAAGCATCTGTTATGTGCCAGGCACTGTGTAGGCTCTTGAAATACAAATAGAAAGGATGAAACAATTCTACACTCAAGGAATTTGTTTTATTGGTATAGGCAAGAAATATATACACACACACACACACGTGTGTGTGTGTATATATGCACATATATTATATATACACATATGCATATAAGCATATATACAGCAAAAATATAAAGAGAATGAATATAATTATATACAAAGTAGTTAAATACAAGGTAGCTTGGGAGGAAAGGCAATAGCAGTTGAGGAGATCAGGAAAGGCTTCCTGCAGAAGGTGGTGCCTGAGTTGTATCTTAAAGGAAGAGGGGGCTCTCTGAGGCAGAAGTACAGAGGGAATACATTTTGGGCATGTGATATGGTCAGTGGAAAGTCTCCAAGGTTTGTGAGGAACAGAGAGAATACCAGGTTGTCTGGAGCAAGGAATGTGAGAGAGGGAGTAATATCCAGTAAGGTTGGAAAGACAGGTTTGGGGCCAGGTGGTGAAGGGTTTTAAAAACTAAATACAGGATTTACTATTTTATCCTAGAGGCAATAGGGAGCCACTAGAGTTGATTGAATAAGAAAGTCACATGGTAAGATCAGTGCTTAAGGAAAATTCCATTGGCAGCAATGTGTAGGATGGATTGGAATGGTGAAACTTAGGATGGGGAGACCAAT